CAGCTTTCCCAGCCCATGAAATCGGAGAGGCCGAACTGCCAGCAAGCAACCGCGTCTCTTGCAGAAAGTAGTGGCGAACCTCCTGGCCTTTGTCGTGATGCATCCACTCCACGAACGACTGGCCAGTCAACCACGAGTTGCAGTTGTAGGTGACCAGGCAGAGCGCGTCGCCCACTTCGGTCCGTGTATGCTGACTCCGCTTGGCGCCATCGTCTGAATCCAGCAGAACGGGCTGGCCGCCCCCTCCGCTCGGCTTCGCGCAGAGCGATCGCTCCAGCCCCGTGGGCCTCTCGGAGAGGGTCGGCTGCCCAGCGACGACTGAACCTGGCGCGCCAGGATTTCCAGCGGCCACCCCAGCTATATGCCAATCTCTAGGTCGACCGTGTGGCTGGGCCCCACCAGGCTCCAGAGGCGCGGCGGCGGCGGGCCCCCAGGTTGCCGGGGCCCCCGCGGCGGCGGCGTCGCTGCTGGAGCCTCGGGGGGGGCAGTGCCCCAGCTGCCGAGCTCGATCCACCCGTGGCCCTCGGCGCTCACGGAGGCGCCGAAGAAGTAGTGCATGTGGGCGCGGGGGCACGACGAGCGGGGTCTGAATCCCCCACCCCCGCGTCCGTCGCCTGGCCTCGACCTTCTCCAGGCCGCCGCATTTCATCGCGAATGCTTTGCAACTCACTCCAGTGTCGAGCCTCTTCGTGGGCTCGCAAGGCCGCGGACTGGCCCTGCAGCCAGCGCAGGTAATCCACGTTGTTCTCGCGATTGGTCCTGCTCGGGTCCCAGGCCACTCTGCGCGTGTCCTCCGCCAGCTCCTGGAGAGAACGCCCATCGAGCGCATCTTGCACCCAGTGGGCATGTTGGGGCCGCCGCAGCAGCAACTCCATCGTCTCTGGCGCACAGGCCTCCATCCAGCTGGCCTCGCCAGAATGGGGCTCGGCCAGGTGCGGCGTCCAGCGCGCGGCTGCCGCGTCGAGGCCGTCCTGGAAGACGGCGTCGGGCCCGTCGAACTCGTCGTCCTTGGGCGGGCGCCCCATCGCAGCAGGCACAGGCTGGAGCTCCGCCTGGGCGCCTTGCTTGACCTCTGGGTGGGGCGCCCTGCACTGCCTGGGCGCCCTCGCCTCCAAGGGACTGGGCCCCCCCTCGGGCCGCCGCGCCGTTGGGGGCCCTGCCTGCTGCAGCATGCCCTTACTGTCGCGAGCACGAGCACGCGCACCAGGACCAGCAGGAGCAAGGCTCAGGGCGGAGCCGATCTCCACCACCTCGGGCTTGGCAGCAGCAGCGGCCGCCGCCTCCGTGCCGCCCCCTCTCGGCTCCTGCGTCGCGAGCAGTGCCGTCTGCTGCCTTGCGCATCTTGGTGAGTCGAGCGCGCTGCTTGGTGTGCTCTGCTTTGAGCTTGTCACACTGCTCCTTTTCTGGAGCAAAAAGAGACTTGACATTATCGGCGATGAGTTCTTCCAACTGCTTCTTACGCTGCTGGAACTCCTGCTTGTGTCCTTCCGATAAGTCATATTCTTCTTCGCCCACTTCGAACAGGTCCCCGCGCTCGATCTTGAAACTTCCATCCAAGAGAGTGTCAAACCGAGCCCCTGCCGCAGGAGGCTCAGCCTGTGGGGGAGGGCGACAGGCTTCGTCAGTGAGCTTGGTCTGGAGAGCCGCAATCCTACCGTCGAAGCCATCGAGCTCCTCGCTGAGCTCTTGGATCTTCTCGCGCTGCCGTGCCAAACTTTTCTCCCATCTGTCAGCCAAATCCAATTCTTTCTCCATCCTCTTAATGTCGGCGTCGCGCTCCTCCACCAACTGAGAAAGTTGCTTTTCAGGTGGGAGTACAGCAGGGCCAGCAGCCAGACGGTCGAGCTCCAGAAGGCGGAGCCTACACTTGCTGGCCACCGAGTCGAGCGACTGCTTGCTGGCCAAGGCCATGAGCTGCTGGACCTCCTCGCGCTGCATCCTTCGAGCGTTGAAGGCAAAGGGGTCTGGGCAAGCGAACTGCGGCCCTGCGCGCAAAGGGGGCTGCGCTCCTTTGCCTTCACCTTTGCCCTTGCCACTGCCTGTCTTACCGCCAGCATCAGCTCCCCCTGCGTCTCGAGCTCGGCCATTGCGCCAGCGGCCAGGCTTGCCCAACGGCTCGGGTTGGGAGACTGCCAGCTGCTGTGCTCACGGATCTCGGGACGAGAGAGCTGCTCCGCATTGAAAACACTTGTTTGCCGACTTCCTGTTTTTGCCACAGCCGCACTTCCAACACTTGAGACATTCAGGCTTTGCCGCTGCGAGCTTCCACTCATCGGCCGCAGCAGGGCGAGAACGAACCCAAGGAGCATACTGTTAGGTCATACGAGGTTACGAGGCTGCACACCTCAGAGACTGGCAGTGAATGTTTGTGAAAAGGAAGAGCCTCCAGCCAGGGCAGGCTGAGAGGGAGGCCTTGAGCTGTCGGGGACCGCAAATCCCCCCACGCCGCAAAGTCAAGTTCTGAGCGAAACCGCTACGGACTTGAACCAAAATGACTACGGAGGAGGAGGAGGGGGAGGTGGAGGAGGAGGAGGAGGAGACGGGGGAGGAGGGAGGAGGAGGAGGAGGAGGAGGAGGAGGAGGAGAATCGACGTGGTGGTGTATAGTCTTGGGGCCCGCAGGCGGCGCGCCCCCCCGCGCCGCTTCCTCCCGCGGGTGCCGCGCGGCGGCCCGGCGCCTCCGCCGCCGCCGCCCGCGGCCCGGCCGCGGCGGCGCCCGGCATGCCCACGAGGATGCCGGCGGGCCTTCGCACCGAGACGCAGGTCGGCGGCGACAGGGGCGGGCGAGGAGGGTGGGCTCCTCCTCCTCCGCCGCCGCCGCCTCCTCCCTCCGTCCTCCTCCTCCCCCCTCCCCCCTTGCCTCGTCCGCCTCCTCCTCCCTCCCTCTGTTGTGCCTTCCTGCCCCGTCCGTGGGCCGAGCCAGCCAGGTCGTCCACTGCTAGCGGGCGTCGGCTGGCTGGCGTCGGGGGAGAAGCGGCGCCAGCCAGACTCACCGAGCGCGTCCCACCTCTCGCAAAGTTCCTGCCTACGCTAGGGGGGCGAACAATGACAGAAAAACATACAAAACTCGGAGGTCCGCGCGGATTTCTCGGATCGATGCTGGAGACCCCTGGCGGCGCCTCCGGCGCCGCCCCTGGCGCGCTCCGCGCGCCAGGGAGGGGGTCCAGCCCCGATCCGCCGAAAAGTCCGCGCGGACCTCCGAGTTTTTATATTTGTGCCATTGTTCGTTCCCCATATATTCGCAAACGTTAGAAGAATCACTTTTTTTGCGTCGTCGGCGAGGCAGGGGAAGTCTGTGCCAGCGGAAAGGCCTGAACGGAGGTGCCGTGAGGGCAAATTGTGCCACCATGCAAGAGGAGGAGCAGGAGGAGGACGCGGCCGAAAGAGGGGGCGGAGGTAGCGAGCCGCTCAGGGAGACGGGTCAACGTCCAATGAACACATTTTTGCCTCCATGTAATGGATCGTAAATCCCCTGCGGCGGATCCGGGCCATTTGCGAGTGCTTACTTTGCGAGTAGTGGAACGCGCTTTTCTACAAACGTGCTAATACTGTGTGTGCGTCGCCCCCGACGGCGCGACCCAAACATGTCGAAAAATACATGGCGCCATGAGCATGAGCTTTTGGCGCTCCGCGCGGATCTCTTGGATCCGTCCTGGCGCGCTCCCCGCGCCAGGGAGGGGGTCCAGCGCAGATCCAAGAAATCCGCGCGGAGCGCCAAAAGTTTATGTTTGTAGTGGTTGGATTTCTTCTGAACATACTGATGCTATGTGTGCGTCACCCCCGAAGGGGCCACGCGTGGGCCGAGAAGTCTTCTAGCATATGCTTCGCGGCGCGCGCATTCTGGCCGTAGCGTTGGGGAAACGATGCGCTACAGGATGATTATACTATATGTTCGAGTCTGACGCGCGCCTCCGAGGAGGACACGCAGTACTAGCATGTTCTCCTGCGTCCCACCGAACGCTACCCTTGCCGATCAACGACTCGGGCAGCTCGATGGGCGGCGGGGGTGGGGCTTGGGATCGTCGAACGCGTGGCGAAGTCCGAACCCTCCCCCCGCCTCCCATCGATCACCACCCAACAAACCACCCCAACCAAACCCGAAGGCCCCAATTTGCCCTCCATCCCCAGTGTGGGGGGTGTCGGGGAGCATTGAGAAAACGCATGTGGAACCCGTGCCCCTGAACCCGAAATGTGGGTCTTCGAGTTATGTTGGGGTGGTCTGGTAGGTAGTCAATCGATTGAGGAGAATGGATGGTTGGTGGGGGGCAGGGTTCGGATGTCGCCACCCGAGCGACGGACAAAAACGGCGGTCGTCTGCGCCGACATTGGCGCGTGAGCTTCCTGCGTGGTTGGCGCGTGAGCGCCCAGGTCTCCACAGAGCAGTGTGCCGCGCTGGCGGCACGCGGAAGCCACCGCGGAAGGTCGCTAGAGTCAACCCGTACAGGAAGGATGGGCAACCTTCCCAAAGGGTACCCCTGCATCCTCCCCCTTCAGCCCATCCTTGGCCACTTTCGCTGGCCGCACCCCCTCGCAAGGTGTCGGCGCGGCCTTCCAAGGCCCTTGCGTCCACATCGTGCGTCCTGATTATACGGGCTGACTGTACGTCATCTCGCCCGACCTGCTCTACGCAGAACTCTTCCACGTCTGAGCGCTTTCCCCTCCCCCTCCCCCCGCGCGGCCGCCTCTGTCTTGTCTCCTCCCCCCTGCACGCCGGACCATCCGCCTCTCGGTTGCACAGAAGAGCCGCGCGCTGGAGCGGACTGCCTCGAACGAAGGATTGCAAAAAAACCTCCTCGAACGAAGGATTGCAAAAAAAACCTGTTTTTTTGAAATCCTTCGTTTTTTGTTTTTTTGCAATCTTTCGGGTTTTTTGCAATCCTCGCCGCCGACGGAAAAGTGCACGTCATCTCGCGTGAGACCCGCTTTCGATCGCCGCTCGCCGAGCAGGCCGACTGCGCGAGGCTCCGCGAGACGCTCGACGTCGAGCTGCGCGCCTGGGAGGCCGCCGCCGGCGCCGGCCACATCGAGGGGCTGCCGGAGGCCGTGCGGCGCAGCCGCGACCGCTTCCGCAGCCTCTCGGCGGCGGCGGGCAGCACCGCGGCGGCTGGCAGCCAGGCTCAGGCGACCACTCTTGCGAACCTTCCAGTCGGAGGAGGAAACAGGGGGACGGGCAGTGACAGAAGAGCATACAAGACTCGGAGGTCCGCGCGGATTTCTCGGATCGGCGCTGGGGCCCCCTGGCGGCGCGCCAGGGGGGGGGGTCCAGCGCAGATCTAAGAAATCCGCGCGGAGCGCCAAAAGTGTATGTTTATGCAGTTTTTTTTGTTTTTTTTTCATTTTCCCATACCGCTAACCTCGTCCCCTTTTCCCCTTTTTCGGCCTCCTGGGGGGCCCTCGTCGCCACCCCTGGCTTCGCCTCGAGACTCTGGTCAGAACGAGGTCCGGGGAGCAGCGGTATCGGTACCTTCTGGCTTCCCGATTGCAGTCGGACCGAGGTACAAGATCGAGGTCGTTCTGGGGAGGGTACCCTCATGCTCTTCGTGCTTGTGGGGTTCTGTCAGGAGGGGAAAAAACACACAGACACAATTAATCCTCGATTCCCCAGAAAATATGGGAAAATATGGGAAGTGGGGGGGAAGACAAAAACCCAGAAAATGGGAAAATATGGGGGATATTTTTATTTGTGTGTATTTATTTGTGTGTCCCAGTTCCACTTCATTCTTCTTGTGCGTCCTGGGCGAGGGTACCCTCGACTGCTTTTCCTGTTGGCCGGCGGAGGGTCGTGCTCTGGAAGGCTGTGTTCTTCTGTCTCGGGTCCGACTGTGCCCCCCCGCTCAGAGGAGGAACAGGTGCCAATCACTCCCAGAGCTGTCGGTTTCCCTGCGGTCTCCGGCTTTTTTTCCCAACCATCCTGTGGTGTTGGGTCCTCGTTTTGAAGAGACGGTGCCCCGCGTTCCTCCTCCTCCCGCTGCCCCCTCCCCCCTCCTCCTATTATCATCACCATCCTCATCATGCTCATCATCATGAGTATCGTCATCATCATCATCATCATCCACATCGTGGTTGTCGGTCATCATCATCACCATCATCATCATCATCATCATCATCATCATCATCATCATCATCATCATCATCATCATCATCATCATCATCATCATCATCATCATCATCACCATCATCATCATCATCATCATCATCATCATCCTCATCATCATCATCATCATCATCATCATCATCATCATCATCATCGGCACACCCCTCACACGTTTCGTGGCCCCATAGGGAGCTCCACCGAAGGCCCAAATGGCTGCGTCCGCATGCCGCCGCCGCCCAATTTTGGCACACCCCTCACACGTTTCGTGGCCCCATAGGGAGCTCCACCGAAGGCCCAAATGGCTGCGTCCGCATGCCGCCGCCACCCAATTTTGGCACACCCCTCACACGCTTCGTGGCCCCATAGGGAGCTCCATCTAAGGCCCAAACATGCCGCCGCCACCCCATTTTGGCACACCCCACACGCTTCGTGGCCCCATAGGGAGCTCCATCTAAGGCCCAAATGGCTGCGTCCGCATGCCGCCGCCACCCATTTTGGCACACCCCTCACACGTTTCGTGGCCCCATAGGGAGCTCCATCTAAGGCCCAAATGGCTGCGTCCGCATGCCGCCGCCACCCCATTTTGGCACACCCCTTACACGCTTCGTGGCCCCATGGGGAGCTCCACCGAAGGCCCAAATTTTGGCTGCGTCGCTCCATCTGCCCAAATGGCCGTTCGCATGCCCCGCCACCCCATTTTGGCACACCCCTCACACGTTGCGTGGCCCCACAGGGAGCTCCACCGAATGCCCAAATTTCTGCGTTCGCATGCCGCCGCCACCCCATTTCGGCACACCCCTCACACGTTTCGTGGCCCCATAGGGAGCTCCACCGAAGGCCCCAGTGGCAGACCTCGCATGCCGCCCGCCACGACGACAGCCTCACGGGGGACCTCACGGGCCCGCTGGTGTTCATCGAGCCCCGCACGTCGGAAGCCGTTCACCTTCCGCACCTCCAAGGTCACCCGGACGGGCTTCCCGTTTTCACACGGCAGGGTCATCACCACGGTGGCGTGCCAGGGGCGCACCATGCGGGAAGGCGGCGGGGCGGGGGAACGGCGCCACCGGGCAGTCTACGGCCGAACCCTTCGAACGCGAGCGGTCCGCAGCCGGACCTTCTCGGTCCCGTGGACTCTCGCCCTGGGCCGTCGGCTGTCTTGCGCGCCGCTCCCTCGACCGACGCCGCCCAGGCGTGATCCTGGACTCGCGGCGCAGAAGGAGGACGACGACTGGTGGCTGGAGCTCTACGTGCTGCTCTCGCGCGCCACGCGCCACGAGGATCTCCTGCTCATGCGGGCGCCGCTCATCGAGTTCTTCCTGGCAGGGCCGCCGGAGGGCTTGCGGAAGCAGCTGGGGCAGTTTGCTGCGCGCGCACGAAGCGGCGCAGGAGGGAGGCGACGGCCCTCGCCAGAGAGCTGGGCTTCAGCGAGTTCATCCGCGAGGCCTGACCTGGGGAGCGGCCCCGCACGAGCCAGCGGCGCGCGCTGGTTGTCGCTGACGCTTGATGACCCCAGCTCGTCGTCGGGATTTCTCGCCAGAGGATGACTGGCGCCTGTCGGGGGATTTCACCCAGATCGCGCCATTTTCGCACGCCTCGCCGCGCAGTGCGGGGGCGCTATCCGTTGACTCAGAGTCGCAGTGGACAACCCCCGCGCGTCGATGGGATTCCCTCGGGATGACCAGACCGCGTCGGCGAGGACTTCCCAGGCACTTTCGCGCGGCGCCGCCTGCGCGCTGCATTCTGCGCGGCTCGCTGTCGGTCTGGAGGCAAAAACGTCTCCCCCTCGTCTCTCGCTCCTCCTGCTTCCCATCGCTTCTTGACCGCGCGCTTCCCCGTCTCGTTTCTGCCGCTGCTGACCTGCCTTCGACATCTACACGGCGTCTCCGTCACCTCTTCCTGCGTGCCCAGTAACAGGTCTCATGATGCGATGATGATACTGATGTGTTGGCTCGCCCCAGTGAGCTCTCCTCCTCCGCCCGCCACCTCCTGGCCGCGCTGCCCTGTGCCTCGTCCATGCAGTGGCGCGGTGCTCATGAGAAGAGGGGCCTAGTTTGCGTGCCCCCTCCTTCGTCTCATATCCGTGCGGTACTCGCAGCTGCGTATGGTTGGGTCCTTCGCCAGACTAATTTGTTGTTCTCAATCCGGGCGTTTGTTTTTTTGGGGGAGCAAGATCTGGCCTCTGGACCCCGCTTGTCTTGAGTCGGGCACGCCCCTCGACAGGAGGAATATTCAAAGATGGTCAAACCATAGCCTCGGGCCGCTCTTTGGATTGTTTTTGTTGTTCCCAACCATCCTGTGGTGTTCGGTTCTCGTTTTGAAGAGACGGTCCCCGCGTTCCTCCTCCTTCCTCCCGCCTCCTTCTTCCTCCCCCTCCTCCCCCTTCCCCCCCCTCCTCCCTGCGTTGCACCCCGCCCAGTGCAGCGTTTCGTGGTTTCATAGTGAGCTCCACCGAAGGACCCAGTGCCACCGCCCGCATGCGTCACCCACCAATTTCGGCACACCCTTCACACGTTTCGTGGCCCCATGGGGAGCTCCACCGAAGGCCCCAGTGGCACCGCCCGCATGCGTCACCCCCACCAAGCACAACGTTTCGTGGCCCCATAGGGAGCTCCACCGAAGGCCCCAGAGGCACCGCCCGCCCGCGTCATCACCCACCCAGTACAGCGTTTCGTGGCCCCATGGGGCGCTCCACCGAAGGCCCCAGTGGCACCGCCCGCATGCGTCATCCCCCACCCAGTACAGCTCTTCGTGGCCCCATATGGAGCTCCACCAAAGGCCCCAGTGGCACCGCCCGCATGCGTCACCCCCACCCAGTACAGCTCTTCGTGGCCCCATGGGGAGCTCCACCGAAGGCCCCAGTGGCACCGCCAGCATGCGTCATCCCCCACCCAGTATAGCGTTTCGTGGCCCCATAGGGAACTCCACCGAAGGCCCCAGCGGCACCGCCCGCATGCGCCACCCCCACCAAGTAGAGCGTTTCGTGGCCCCATAGGGAGCTCAGCCGAAGGCCCCAGCGGCACCGCCCGCACGCGTCACCCCCACCCAGTACAGCGTTTCGTGGCCCCATATGGAGCTCCACCGAAGGCCCCAGTGGCACCGCCCGCCCGCGTCATCCCCCACCCAGTACAGCTTTCCGTGGCCCCATAGGAAGCTCCACCGAAGGCCTCAGTGGCACCGCCCGCATGCGTCACCCCCACTAAGTACAGCTTTTCGTGGCCCCATAGGGAGCCCAGCCGAAGGCCCAAGCGACACCGCCCGCATGCGTCATTCCCCACCCAGTGCAGCACTTCGTGGCCCCTTACGGAGCTCCACCGAAGGCCGCAATGGTACCGCCCACATGCGTCACCCCCCTCCCAGTACAGCGCTTCGTGGCCCCATAGGGAGCTTCACCGACAGCCCCAGTGACACCGAAAGCCCCAGTGGACGTACTCGCACGCGTCACCCCCGCCCAGCGCAGCGCTTCGTGGCCCCATAGGAGCTCCAACGAAGGCCCCATAGTGACGGTGTACGCACGCGTTCCCCCCGCCCACCGCAGCGCTTCGTGGCCCCATGGGGAGCTGCACCGAAGGCCGCAGTGGCGGCCCCATCCCGCTGCGGCGCACCCCTCGCACTCTTCGCGGCCCCGCAGTGCGGTCAGCCTGAAGCACCGGTGGCAGCGCCCACATGGCTGCCCCGCCCCACCTCGGCACTGCTTTCGCATGCGTCATGGATCTATGGTGGGGATCCCGCGAAATCTATAATACATATATATATATATACATATTCATATATAGATATACCATAAAACCAATAGGTATATGATATGAATATACACATATATAACACAGAACACATAATACATGTATATTTGTATATGCCTATGTTTCTTCCAAAGCCCGCCTGTAGGAAGGAGGACATGCCCGACCTTAGACCCTCGTCGGGCACCAGGGCCACCCCAGAACGGATCCAGGGCGAAGAGTTGCCCCCAGCGGGAGGCGGTCCGTACCCCACGGCCCCCCACACGGGTTCCCTTCGACGCCGGGGTCTCTCGGAGCAGTCCGCTGGGATGTGGGCCTGGCTGCAGGCATCCTCGTCGCATCCTCCCTGACCTTTCCACCTTCCACGCCTTCCGACCAGCAGGTGGCTGATGTTCACCGCCCACCAAACCACCCCAACCCAACCCGAAGGCCCCGATTTGCCCTCCATTTCTGGTGTGGGGGGGTCGGGGAACATTGATTAGCCTGGCGAAAGACCCAACCATACGCAGTTGTGACTACCGCAGTTGTGAATAACATCTTCGCCCGCGCTCCCGATGTGGCCACAACTTCCCGCCTGAGCCCGACATGCTCAGGGACACGTTCGTGGCCGTCTTCGCGGGCGCCGACGACGACGAGGACGGCGCCCCCCTGACCGAGGAGCAGAAGCAGGAGAGGGTTCTAAGAACCATGAGGGAGGCTGCCACTGGGGCCTTCGGTGGAGCTCCTATGGGGCCACGATCCTCGTGAGGGGTGTGCCGAAATGGCCCGAGGCCGCCATGCGAACGCAGCCACTGGAGCCTTCGGTGGAGCTGGGGCCACGATCCTCGTGAGGGGTGTGCCGAAATGGCCCGGGCCGCCATGCGAACGCTGCCACTGGCGCCTTCGGTGGAGCTCCGTATGGGGCCACGATCTTCGTGAAGGGTGTGCCGAAATGGCCCGAGGCCGCCATGCGAACCCTGCCATTGGCGCCTTCGGCGGAGGCCACGATCCTCAGTGAGGGGTGCGCCACAATGGGGCGGGGCCGCCATGCGAACGCTGCCACTGGGGCCTTCAGTGGAGTTCCCTATGGTGCCACGGTCCTCGTGAGGGGTGCGCCGACATGGGGCGGGGCCGCCATGCGAACGCTGCCACTGGGGCCTTCGGTGGAGTTCCCTATGGGGCCACGATCCTCGTGAGGGGTGCGCCAAAAAAATGGGGGGGCCGCCGTGCGAACGCTGCCACTGGGGCCGTGGAGCTCCCTATGGGGCCACGATCCTCGTGAGGGGTGCGCCAAAATGGGGCGGGGCCGCCGTGCGAACGCGCTGCCACTGGGGCCTTCGGTGGAGCTCCCTATGGGGCCACGATCCTCGTGAGGGGGTGTGCCGAAATGGGGCGGGGCCGCCATGCGAACGCTGCCACTAGGGCCTTCGGTGGAGCTCCCTATGGGGCCACGATCCTCGTGAGGGGTGTGCCGAAATGGGCGGGGCCGCCATGCGAACGCTGCCACTGGGGCCTTCGGTGGAGCTCCCTATGGGGCCACGATCCTCGTGAGGGGTGTGCCGAAATGGGGCGGGGCCGCCATGCGAACGCTGCCACTGGGGCCTTCAGTGGAGTTCCCTATGGGGCCACGAAGCGCTGTATTGGTTGGGTGAAACGCAGGGAGGAGGGGGGAGGAGGAGGAGGAGGAGAAGAGGAGACGCGGGCCACCGTCTCTTCAAAACGAGGACCCAACACCACAGGATGGTTGGGAAAAAAACATATCAAGCCCGTGCCCCCCCCAACCCGAAATTTGGGCGAAATTCGGGTCTTCGGGTTGGGTTGGGGTGGTCTGGTAGGTAGTCAGATGTATTGGTCTTTTCGAGGAGACGGCATGAACTACGGGGCCCAACGATATACACCACCACCACCTCCCTCGCCGTCTCCCCCTCCCAGGAGAGAGGAGAGGAAGGGGAGGGTAGGGGAGGGATGAGGAATGGAGGTGGTGGTGGTGTATATGCTCCGGACCCGCAATAAACAAACTTCCGGAGCTCCGCGAGGAATTCTTGGATCGGCGGTGGACCCCCTGGCGCGCGGAGCGCGCCAGGGGCGGCGCTGGAGGCGCCGCCAGGGTGCTCCAACGCCGATTCAAGAGCTCCGTGCAGAGCTCCGACAGTTTCTATTTCTGCCCTCAGTCCCCAGAGAAGATCGCTGAGACAACCACCTGCTGGTCGGAAGGTGTGGCAGGTGGAGGGTCCGGGCTGGGCGCTTCAGAGGTCTGGCCCGCAGGGGCGGGGCTCGCCCGTGGTTGCCCGCAGGCGGCGGAGCGGCGCCAGGGCGCGGGCCCGCGCGACCTGTGGCTGCGGGTCGACTTCTGTCCCACGGAGCGGTACGGGATGGAGATCTTCGTGCACCCGGGCTCCGGCGACCATAGGACGCCCTTTTTTTTCATCCCCTGGCGATGCCCTCAGACCCGAACGTTGCATTTTGTTCACGTCGGGCGGCTTCGCCAAGTTTCGGGTCCTGGGGCCCTCATCGATTCTGCTCGAGAAATGGCGCAGGAAGATCGGGGTCCAGGGCTTCACTGGTGTTTTTTGTGCGATGTTCTTTGGTGGGGGCAACGTCAGCAGTGAGGGTAACTGAATTGCCAAACGTACTGTGATTATGGGAAGTTATGTTAAGTTATGGTGTATCGAGTTGCCTGGAACTTATATCAAGGTAAGTGACCATAGGTTCGGATGCATTCAAGATGCATAGCTTTAGCATCTGTTCGCGTCCATATAGCTAATTTCCATCTAGCTCCTCCTAGCTAGTTTCGTTGTCGAAGCGCTTGCGCTGGCTTCAATACAAGTTGTTGTGCCGGCGTGAGTTCCACACATTTGTGTTGGGCATATCCAGCCCTCCTCTTTCCTCCTCTTCGGGTCTACTTCGGCACACTCTTCACACGATTGACGGCCCCGTAAGGAGCTCCACCTCAGGCCCCAGAGGCAGCAGCAGCAGCAGCAGCAGCAGCAGCAGCAGCAGCAGCAGCAGCAGTCGCGTGCCGCCTCATGGGGTCATCCTCTCTCGATGCGGCGCAGACCTGCGTGGACCTGGAGCGGGCGAAGGACGGCTTCACGGGCCGCACGCGCATCAACACTGAGGTCGCACGTGCGAGCTATGGAGACGATGTGCAGGTGGCTCTTGCGCGCGCACGGGATCCCGTGGCCTGTGACGATCGTGCACATCATGGAGTGCGTGTGCGCCTGGGCGGCTGAGCCGTGTGGGCCGTCGGTACCCAACCAGACCCTGCGCGCTGTGGTCTGGGCGCAGCGGGTCGCGGGCGTCGATTCGAGCGACAGGTTCTTCGCAGGGCAAGAGTCGCAGCGACAGGTTCTCCGCAGGGCAAGAGTCGCAGCATATTGTCGCGAGGCTTTTCGGCGTGGGCAACCGACGACGAGGGCGGCACGCTTCCCCGGCGCGTTCATCGGGGCCTTAGAACGGCTGGTCCCGGACGACGGTCTCGCGCCGTACCTGCGCGGCGCGGCGTGGTTTCGTTTCGTCGAGGTGTGGGCGGCGCTGCGTTGCGACGGCCGCACTTGGCTCCAGCCGCAGCGCTTCGTTTTCGTGGACTGAAAGGTGCGGGCCACACTGGGGCGCGCGAGGACCAGAAGAACATGCTGAAAATGCAAGAGTTTCTGGTCGTGGTATCCCGAGAGTGCTACATGTCTGACCCAGCGTGGACACAGACGGGCTTGGATCTGTGGCAGGACATCGCAAAGTTCGAGAGGGACTACTTCCCGCCGAGGTGCGGCGACGCGGGGCTAGTGGTGGTCCGCAAGCCCGAAGCATCGGCAGCGGGTCAGGAAGTGCTCCAGAGGATGCTGAAACCAGCGGCGTGCAACGGGGAGGGGGTCGAGGCCCTCCCCCAGGGATGTCGTGGGAGTCTGGGCAGGGCATTCGGGGTGGGCGACGATTCTCTCGGCCACGGCGGCATATGGGGGTCTCGCAGCGTGACTGCGATTACCGGGGCAGGCGGTCGCGGGGAAGGCGGGCACATGCGCGAGGACACGCCGCGCAATCGCGGCCAAGCTCCAGCGGCAGTTCGTGGAGTTGCTGCGCTCAGGGAAGTCCAGCGCGGCGCTGGGCAAGTCGGCGTCCATTTGGTCCTGGCGAATTGGCTGGCGCTGAGGAATAATTCGCGGCCCTCGAGGCCTTCGCCAGCGGGTGGGGGGCGGCGCCCCGGCGCAGCGAGGGCGATCCGAGCGGGGCGGCGACCGCGGAGGCCGCTTTTGAAGATGGGGATGCGAATCGCGTCGCGCCGCTGGCGGGGACGGCAGCGCCCCCCCGCGAAGAGTGCCGAGGGCAGAGCGCGGACGTGGCAGCGCTGGCGAGGGCAGTTGGGCGAATGTGCAGGTCGGAGACTGCGGGGGGCCCTCCTTCCAGAGCAATGGCGCCGATGAGGTCGAATGCGACCTCATCGTGTGCGCGAAGAAGCGCATGTACCCGTCTTCTACATGGTCGGGAGCTGTGACGGGGCGAACGGCAGGTCGCCGCTGAAATCCGCGAATTTCGACGATGTGCCAGGCCCGGGGGACTATAGCGTGGTCTGCCAGATGTGCCGGTGCCTGCTCTCAGCCGAGATGGCGAAGGCGGCCGACGAGAGCGAGGGCGGCGATTCGGACAGCTCGTCGAGCTCCGCCAGCTTCGACGCTCGAGCTGCCGGACTCGGGCCTGCGCTTCCTCCTCGCGAGGGAGGGTGTTCCGCTGTGCGCGCGGGCGCTGCCGCACTCCTGCGGAGTGAAGCATGGCGGAGTGAACCATGGCGGTCGCAAGGCGTTCGCCGGGATGCGCCCGAACTGGTCGCGGAGGTTTGGGTGGGGCCTCGCGCGAAGGTGGCTGCGCTTGCGCGCGCGTGGCAGGCGGTGCGCGCGCGGATAGAGCAGCGGCAGGAGCTGGGCGGCGAGGCCAACGCGCGCTGGGGAGTCACGCCAGTGTGCGTCTTCGATCAACAGGCGATGCGGCTGCGCCTCGAGGGGGCAGTCTGGAGGCTGGAAGGGGAGTCTGATGCAGGCAAAATCTTGCCTCGAGATCAGGCAGACAGAGATCGAGCTGGGGGGCATCAGGGCGGAGGCGCTCGCGGCGGCCCACTCGGCCGAGGAGGATGAGGGCCCCGACCTCCTGGCCTCGGTTTTGGCCCAGCTCGGGGGCGATGCAGTTCGGGGAGGCTGCGACCGTCATGGTCGTGCCTCCTTCTGGTCACAGGCGCGCTCGTCATCGGTCAGTTCCGCGCGGACAGGCAGGAGCTGCAGGTCTGGGGCCAACGGCGGACCTTGGCGTGTCTGGACTGCGTGCTAGGTGGGCGCGTGTCTGGAGCCTCGTGGGAATGGGCGCGCAGGGCGAGGGGCCGCGCGCCCGCCTTGGAACTGGGCGCCGCGGTGCGAGCATCAGGCGCGCGGGGGGGCCTGGCAGCTGGCGCGGCAATGGCGCGTGCAGTTCCGCGCGGCGCTCCTGGGGGCGATGGGCGACTCGTTGTCGAGGAGCGGCGCTTCGCGACCCCGCCTGCCCTCGCCAGCCTGGCGGCCCGCCGCCAGCCTTGGCCGCCGCGGCGGCAGCCGCGGCAGCGGGGGTTCAGCCCGCTGATGCAGGTGCGCAGGTGCGGGGCGCGCAGATGACGCCGAGGCCCATGTAGAACAATTCTTTCTGAGTTTCTACGAGGGTCGTCACGAGGTCATCTTCGTACTTATCGCCGACGTCAATGGAGCGTGCTGGCGGCCAATTGCGGCGCCGTCCGCGTGGGCGAGCTAGCGTCGGGCTTGAGGCGCCCAGGCGTCGCGGCGATGGCCCTGGCGCCGGAAGGCCGCCAATGGGGCAGGCTTGCGCTTGGCTTGCCTGCTTCGCGAGGAAGACAAGAACAGGGCCCCTGCAGCGTGCGACCAGGATTGCGTTGACGTGGGTCGGCGAGCGACCGGCGAGCGGGCGGATATTGGAGTCGCCCATCAAGTTTAGAACCGAGAGCGTCGGGCACTCCCGCTCGGATGCGAAGGCGGAGGATGGGCGCTGCTGGATGGGCGGCCAGGGGGCGCCGACGAGCGGCAGCGCGCGAGGGGGTCGCTCGTGCGCGCTGGAATCAGAGCAGAAGTTGTTCCCCTGGGCGTGGGCCAAGACCGGCGACCCGAGCGGGGTCGCCGCGGCGCTTGAGCTCTCTGGAGCGATCCACTGCGCGACGCCGTTCGCGGAGCCCGTGGGGCGCTGCCGGGGTGCGAGCTTCGGTCGTGGCGGGGTCGACGGGCGTCCTGGGTGGGGCTCGCGCGGGGAACAGGGCCGCGTCGACCAATGAACCGTTGACGGTCTTTCTCTTCGAGATTCTGGAGGAGCGAAAGCGAAGTTCGTGCATGATGGCGCTGAGCTGAGCTTAGAACGGCTGCCGCTCGAGGAGAACCTGGAGGCAGACGATCCCGGCAATGTGAAAACGTCGGACTCTGACGAGTCCATCAGGCTGCGCGTGGCGGCCGCGGAGCTGAAGTGGCACGTGCTCGACGAGGTGGCGCGGGCGCCCCGGGGGCTCTGCGTGTCGATCGCCGAGGAGGGCGACCGCCAAGGGCGGGCCGCCCGCGGCAGGGTGCGACCGCAGGGGCCGCGGCCGCGCGCGCGCCTGGCGTCGCGGTGACAGCATCGCCCAGCACGTCGCCTGCGAAATCGCGCGGGCGGAGCTGGAGAACGGGGTCGCGCGCGACCTCTCAGGGCGGGGGCGCGGCGCGAGGTCCCGCGGAGCTGGTCTTGAATTTCCGCCCTCCTGTGGGCCCCGCCGCGCGGGGTGGGCGCCGCTCTCCCGCGCTCTCCCGCTCTCCCGCTTTTCCGCCGCGGCGGCGGGGGGGTCAGTGCGGGGTGGGCCGCCCTCGCCGCGGTGGGCCCTGCGGGGGAGGGGAAGGGCTTCGAGACTGAGCGCATGCTCCTTTTGCACGGTGCGATCGGGGGGGCGGCGTCTTTGTTGCGGGGCAAGGGGGCCGAGGCGCGGCCGGCGGGCCTCGACGGTGGCAGCGCCCGGTGGGGGTCTCCGTGGGCCGAGCCACCCGCGCGTCGGGCCCCCCCGCCACTTCCTCATTGGTGATTCGCTTCCAAAGCTGAAGGGGGGCATCGAGTTTCTGGAAGTGGTTCGGGCCCCCGCGCTACAGGGCCCCCATGTCCTCCACCCGTAAGAGAGGCATCAACGTCATCCCCCCGCTTTTACCACCATCGCGCCGCTTGTGTGGCCATTTGAGCATGCGCCCCCATGTGTGCCAACACGGATGTGTATCCTATTGCTCTGCCAGGTGCCTGTGGCCATTCGGGGGCAGGCGCTCGGCCGATATTGAACAACCAACTAACCACACTGGGGGATCAAGTTCCTGGGCCCCTGCGCTACAAGGCCCCCGTTTCCACCACCCGTCGAAGAGGCATCAACTTCACTTTCCCTCTTTTACTCTCCGCTTGTAGGGCTGTTTGTGATGCGACTCTTGTGAGCTTATCATCCAGAGTTTTTCTTGGGCATCTCAGGAGTGGGTGGGGCCGATCAGGGGGGGGCTGGTCGCGTCGCGATTCGCGGCGGCGCTGTCTGGAGATGCTCGGAAATGGGTCATTCCCAGACGGCGCCGCCGCGAACCGTGACGTGACCCGGGTTGGGTGGGGTGTGGGGGTGGAGGCGGTTACGGATGTTACCGCGAGTAATAAAACAAAAAAAGGCTCCAGGCGAACGCAGCCGGAGTCGGCGATCATCTCGGACCCGGACGACGTTGTCCGCAGATTGGAGGAGCTTGGCGATCAACATTCGATCCATACCCTTGCCTGCCCCGCCTGAAGCGCCGGGGGAAGCAAGGCGTGGATACCAACGGTGGCTTCGGAGGCCAGGAATTTAGACACATCCCCGCTCTGGCTCTTCGTGGGTTCCAGGCGCGAGCAGGGGCATGGATCAAACATCGATCTGCGAGGAGCTGAGCGATCGGCTGCGGGCGTTGCAGGCCGACGAGCTGAACGAGCAGCGCGATGCCGAGGAGCTCGTGAGGGCGGCGACGCAGAGCGAGGCGGCACAAGGCGGGGCTCCCGCGAGCGGGGCGCAGGAAACGCATTTCGGCGGCCGCGAGGCGCTGGACATCAGCAGCACCGACGCCATGGACTTCAGAGGAATAACGTCCCTGAGATCATGGCGCCTCAGCTGTTTCGAACCGGGCGTGTTCGCTTCATTTGGGGCCCCGGGGTCTTCACAGCTCGATTTGCTTCGAAAAACGACGCAGAAAGATCGGGTCAGGGGTTCCAGTCAAGTTTTCCCCAAAAGCATTTTGTGGATTTGGGTTCTCGTTTTGAAGATACCGCACCCCGCGTTCACTTCTCCTTATTCCTTCCCTTCCTTCTCTTTCTCCTCCTGTTCCTCCTTCTCCTCCTCTTCCTTCTCCTCCTCCTCTTCCTCCTCCTCATCCTCCTCCTCCTTTTTCTTCTCTTCAGTTCTTTTCCCTTACCGATAACTCCTCCATGTCTTATCCCGAGGTTGGTCGACAAGGGTGGGCACGGCGTTTGGCCAGAGATTTCTTCACCACTTATGACTTTGAAACTTAGGCATTGGCCGCCGTTTTATGGATGGAGGGCGGGTGATTTTCCAAATGTGGTTCTCGCACTGCCGCGCACATTCGTCTTAAGACATTGCTTGTGATCCACGTATTGAGGGCGGGGCGTTTTCAGAATGGAAGCAGCTCTCGCCACAGCGTTTTTGTTTTGCTGTTGTTGTTGATGTTGTTGTTGTAGTAGTTGTAGTTGCTGTTGTAGTTGCTGTTGTTGTTGTTGTTGCTGTTGTTGTTGTTGTTGTGGTTGTTGTTGTTGTTGCTATTGTTGTTGTTGGTGTTGTTGTTGTTGTTGTTGTTGTTGTTGTTGTTGTTGTTGTTGTTGTTATTATGATTGTCATTGTTGTTGTCGTCGTCGTTGTTGTTGTTGCTGTTTTTGTTGTTGTGTGTTTTGTTATTTGTCTCTGTTAAACCAAGTTTTTGTTTGTTTTTTTCGTGTTTTTTTGTTGGGAAAAAACATGAGGGCGGGTGGTTTCAATCTGTGCTTCTCGCCTTTAGCGCCGCGTGCAGCCGGTTTGATGAACTGTACACATTTTACATATTAAGGGCTGGTTGTTTTCGAATGTGGGTTTCGCCCCAGCGCCGCGCGCATTCGTTTCAGAATTTGAGGGCGGTTCGTTTTCAAAATGTGGTTCTCGCCTGAGCGCCGCGCGCATTCCTTTTGAGAGAATTGCAAGAGTTTGGCGGATTCCCATGTCTACGTAATGTCAAAACTTGTTGCCACAATTGATGACCTCCCTCCCCCCCAGATCCCGACTGCCATTACGTTGCCGCCGAATGTTTTTGTGATTGTCTCGCTCGGAAGATATTTCACGAATGCCGCACGATTCGATTGATACATACACTTGAATGTTTATATACATGTATACGTTTATGCACGCACCAGTGAGGGTGTGCGGTCTCTGTCCACGCCGGTGTCGCAGGGCAAGGCCGGCGCGGCGTTTTCCCGGCACCGCTGAGGGTGTGCATGGAGTGGTCCCTGTTCGCGGTCTCCATCCACTCCAGGTTGCACGGCGTGTCAGGTGTAGTACTTTCGGGACCCAGAGAGGGTGCGCATGCGGGTGATGCACGAGCGCAGTTCCTATCCACGCCAGGGTCGCAGGGCGTGGAAGGCGTGACATGACGCCAACAGTGGGCGCGCAGGAATTTGCCCCTGAATGCGGAGGCCACGGTGGTCGCGTGGACGTCCCCTGCGTTCCGGTTGGGCCCGTCCTCTTTTTTGGGGGGGCCCACCACAGCGCTGGCAATATCTTTGTTTTTTTGGTAGCTGTCTTCAGATACTGCCACACATTCGCTCTGGAACGATTCAGGATTGTCAGGCCGCAACAGTTAGGTTGATTCGTGGTGTGGAAGTCCCAGGCATGCGCTCTCGCGCGGTTCTGGATCGTCACGACGCAACAAACAGGGTGATTCGTGGCGGTGAAGTTCCGAAAGTGGTGTTTTAGAAGAATCTTTGTAAGGGGCCCGTGAAGAGGGAGTTTGGCGGGGGGGATTATACAACATCGTTCATGCGTCTTGGGTTTCTACTGGTCTTGCTCGTTTTCTTCCTTCTCCTCCGATCACTCGAACGGTACCGATCTGATTCTTCTTCACCCCATATTTGCCTGCTTCCGTTGCCGTCTACAGCCCGTGCAGTGTTTCGCGCCCGCTCATGGACACGCCATTCACTTCATTCGTTCCACAGAAAACGCAGAACTCCACCGTTTGAATATCTTTTTACACCCATATCTCTAGTTAGCAGCGGAACATCTGCTCCGTTTCCACGGCCGCCGTGTGTCGCCTCGCTCCGATGGCAGAGGCTCCACCATTCCGCTGCTCTTCATCCAGCCGTTCATCCCGCTGGACATCCGCTCATGCTCGCGCCTTCGTGCGCGTTTTCTCGATCGCCATGGCGGGAAATGTCGCTCTAGGATCCGTCGGGGCAGCGCCTGCCCATCTGCCAGGGCCGGTGTCGGGGGGGGGCGTTTTACTTCAGCAAGGGCATCGACGAGACCGACCAGGGCCCTTGCCGCGCGCCGACGACGACGACGAACCTCGTAGCGCGCCAGAGCTCTCAGCCATCCCGTCCATGCTTGCGCGGACTGTGTCGGCGCAGTTTGCGGGCCCTGCGCCTTCAATTCGCCAGCCTGTGGGTTTAGCCGCAAATGTCGGACAATTGCATGGCGCAACTTACGCATGTGCGGCGTCGGCTAAGGGCCCCTTGCATCTGCGCGAGAGCTCTGGGAGGAGCGGGCAGAGCAGCGCGGGGATGCAATGGGGGGTTTGGCGACTCTGTCTCACCGGCGCGTCGAGGGGCGTCGAGGGGCGCCGGCAATCCCGCGCCCCGTGCCGTCTTCGATCCCGTGGCGCGCTCCCTTCGACGATCGCGCAGTCGACGGTGCTCAGCGCGGTGACGACGCGACGAGCGAGGAACGTTCCCCCGATTGTCGCGGGATGCTCCAAATGCCGTGATCACTGCAACCGCGCGACGGCAGCAAACGCCCAATGCGCAGCTGAGGAGCGGCGCGCCCGGGGCAGGTGTCCACGGCGTCTCGACGGCGTGCTTCCCGAGCAGCGTCGCTGGTAGATCCCTGGCTTCAAGCCCCTTCGCGACGCGTGGAAGGGGCCGCGTTCCGGATGGGGGGCCGTCGGAGTGGGCATGACTGCCGGCGCAAGCTGCGCCGCGTGCGTGGGTGCAGGCGGCGGTGGCGGCAACGCGCGACACCTCCGCGCCCGTGGGCCCGAGCGGCGAGGTCTAGTGCCTTTCCCTGGGGGGGCGCGCGAGGTGATGATTTGGCTGGCCATCGGCGAAATCAAATTTCGCCGAGTTCCTGACGCGTAGTTTGGCCGAGCGGTGGGCCCCCTGGGCGAGGGGGGGCGCGCTTGACAATGTCGGTGCTGATGGGCCTCGACCGACGCCGCGGGGGCGCGTCGAGCACCTCCTCGCCAGCTTCGACGTCCTGCGCGAATTGGGCGCAGCGAGCTGGTCAATTCGCGATCGGCTGCGGGGGCCTCGGCTTGCTCTTGCTGTGAGCCGTTGGCGCGTCGATCATCCAACTGGCGATGATCTTGCGGCGCTGCGACGTGGCCTGCCCCCGCTGACGACCGGCAGCTCGCGCGCGCGACGGGCCCGGCGCGGCGTTTCGGCCGCGTGGTCTAGGGCCGGCCGGGCAACCTCGCCGCGGTGGTCCACGCCGCCCAACTGCGCGCCTTCCTTGCGGGCGCGCCCACGCGCGGTCTGGGTCGGGGCGCCGGCGGCGCGGTGGCCGGGTCGAGCTGGGGCGCGCGGGCCCGGCCGCGCGGGGCGGCGCCGGGCCCGCTTGCGCCGGCAGCCGCCGGCGACGCCGCCGCGGCATCGCGGGCGCAGGGGGCTCTCCTGGCAGCGCGCGTCGACTCGGGCGCCGACGGTGACGCCGTCGTTTTTTCCGGAGAAGAAGCTGCCCCGTGCGACCCCGGCTGCGCTGCGTTCCTGCGGGGCAACGCAGGTCGCGAATCTTCCGGGCCGAAGCGTGCTGGCGCAGCTTCGACGGACGCGTGCCCGCGCGACGAGCCATGGGGGTCATCGAACGAAAGGGCGTGGGCCGCGGTGGAGGCTACTGCCCCCCCCTGGCCGACGTGTCCGAGAGTGACGTCGAGGGGGCTTTCGTGGGCGTTGGGAAGGGCGCAGGTTTGGGTGGAGGTCAGGACGCCCGCCAGATGGCAAGCCGTCTAGCTGACTCCAACCCGCCCCCCCCGACGCATATGTGACACCCGAGCCTCAGCATGTTCCGCGGTCGTCTTTTGATGGGCAGCTACTGGGGGCCAAAACTGAGCCCGTCTGCGCGACGCTGGGACGAGGTGCGCCGCGCGCGCCGGTCTCGCCGCGCGCTCCTGGCGCCCCTGGGGCCTGGGCGTGCCAGGCGCGCCTAGTGCGCCAGATGCCCCCTCGAGCCGCGCCAGGTGCGCCGCGTCCGGGGCGCGCGTGGAGCGTGTCAGGTGCGCCTGCGCACGTGGCGGCACGCATCGGGAAACATATCGGCCCCCGCCATCCACGTCGACAACCAATGCCCATCATTGCGTCTGGCGGGCCTGCGCGCAGCGGACCATGCGCCGCCCCCGCCGTCTTTGACAGGAACCATTTGACAGTGATCGCGGGGGGGCCGCGCGCTATCCACATTTAGCCGTGAGGTGCATTTTGTATTGTGCGTTTGTCAGGGGTGATAGCCCTGCGCGCGGCGGGCGCTGTGCTGGCGCCCCCGCCGTCCCCTTCGAAAAGCAATGCAAAGTGCCCGCGGGTCTCGCGAACGTGATTCCAGATCTTGCCTCAAACTGTACCGTGTATATTGTTTTTTGTTGACAGGGTGGTGGGGGGGGGCCCGTGCCGGTTTGGTTGCGCGTGCCGTGTATTTGGAGGCAGAGTGGTGCGTTTAGTATAGTTTCTTGAAAGGCATGGTGTGGGGGGGCTGCCGGCTGGGTGTGGGGGGGTGTTCCCGGTTGGCGGGTTGTTCCGGACTGGCTGCCGGCTGGGTGTTGGGGGGTTTTCTTCTTATTAGGGATCAGTGATAAAGTGGGATTTCAGGACGAGTGGCGCGGGGTCTGGC